GGATAAAAGTTTGATCTCCAGTAGTATTTCACATTGCCCATAACTTAAGACAATTAATATTACATTATTACATTACAAGCAATTATTATTATGTTCTCTCCGTATGTTTCCTAATAAAATATTTGCATGCAGCAGGTGCCATCATCCTTGCTGAGCAAATTTATTAATTCTCTGCTGTGAGTATAATATCCTCCTTGCTGGAAACATTTTGTTTTAGTACATGTTTCATGGCACTTGCAACAGAATTAGTTATTTATAAGTGCTGAAGATTTGAGGTGTTACAAGAGAGGAACAAACATAAAAAAGGAGGAAAGATAGGGACGATAGATGTTTGATAGGAAAAAAGGAGCAAACCACTGCAGAGCACTGGCCAATCACCAATGGAAACATTTTAACTAGAGCATAAACCTTTGAAATTTTAATCTGAGGGTTGTAAAACCTTTATGGCCATTAGGGGGATCAAATACACACATAAAAAATGGACCAGCAGGTGTTTCTTCATCTTCCAAAAGTCACTCAAAAATCAAAACTTCTACATTTTATATATTATGTATGCTTTCCACAAACAAAGACGCTCCCATGGAGAGAGACCCTGACCTGAAGTTTCAACTGTTGGACCACAAATTTTGATTAGGCCTGCCATTGGGAAATTGAATAAAAGTATGTTAGTCATCACTTAAGGTTTTATAATGCCAAGCAATTCTTGACTGCTTTTGAGAGGGCAGAATGATAGCCTTAATTTAATTTTTAAACTTAAACACAAGAAAGGCCTGATCTAGAAGAGCTCCTGAAAGAATAAAAACCCGAACGATTCTTAATTAAACCAAGCAAGAACCTCTTCTAATTGAGCTGATGGCGCCATGGCGTGAGAATAATGTGATAATTAAATAAACGACATTGCTGTATTAGTGGCCTTTTGAAAGGAAAAGATTGAAGGATTTACTTCAATCATCAGAAGTCAGGGGAGGAAAGATGATAGCTCAACACATTACATTTGTCACGTCCCCTGTTCCAAGGGGAGAAAATTAACCAGTATAAGGCCCTACTTTCTTTTAATTGCTGCGGTATAATATCAGTAATCTAAAGTGGTTTTCCATATCAGCCAAAAAAGAAATACTCATTAAGTTATCTGAGGAGTGCATCAACTTGTCTTCCAAAGAGAGGTTCATAGATAGACTTCATATTTCAACACCTTGTTTTTTGTACTTGAAGTTGTAGTCTTTTGTAAGTACATAATTATATAATCCCATTAGATTCACATCCTTGGAACATTTGATGCATAATTATTACTGTTTCCTCAATTTTTTTTCATTTTATAAGTATTTTTATAAGTGCTATCAAAAGAATCAATGTTTGTATGTGAGTGTGAGAACTAACATTAATGAAGCAGAAATTATACGTACAAATGAGCGGGTGGTTTCCTGTACCACCTGAAAGTATGAATCTGTGCTCTGAACATAAAACAAGTTGTAATAACTCATGATGTTTGTATATGATGGTTATATATTAGTATGCAATAATATTTATTTTTCCAGTATGCCTTTTGCAAATTTTACTCTGAAATCTTTATTTTAACAATTATTTTTTAACCAGCGTCTTCCATATATTACATTGCGCTTTTTGCTTGTACTGCAATTGGTGTGTTGGTGGTTGCGTTTAGTCAAGCACAGTACGTACTTCTGATTGAGTCGATGCTTGTTGTGGTGGACGATGCAATTTCATCTGTCGTCTGGAACGCTGTTCAAAACAAGATAACTGACAACAGGAGATCAGATTGCTCACTAAAGAGATATCAGTCTGTTGAAGAAGCTAACACACCAATACAATTTACCTCTGTTACTGTTCTGTTTTTAAAAAAATCCCCTCTCCATTCCCCTGTTTTCAAACTGCTGTTGGTGTGTAGCGTTCATCAGATGTTTCTGGAAATTATTCGCAGACAGAAAGTACGAATGTGTCGATATGTGTAGTTAACTTACTAACAATATCAGTAGACGCAATTCATAACGAAAGTATATAATAATATATAAATTCAATCACCCTGTAGCAGAGGTACAGAAATGTTTATCTCTGGGAGCAGATCTCCGAAAGTATTTTATCATCGAAGAATAATGTAACACTACCAAGTTATCACTAGTGAAATTTCTCCTTCCCATTTATGTTCGGCTTGTTTTTGTTGCTAGAGAGCTAAATATCTACCTACCCATAAATGGCCAGTTCCCTTAATTATGTAGCCTAATGGTAGAATGCAAAGACTGTACGAGCTAAAACTGTCTTTTTTGTAGTGTTTATGAATGTTAGAGGAAAGTTCTGTCCTTTCACATTG